ACACCACTTTAAATGACAGTAAGTATAAAAAAAACACTTGGAGCTTTAAACAAATCTGTGGATGCTTGTTAAAGAAGTCTACTTAAAACTATTAAAAAACAAACAAAGCTTCACTGTAACATTTAACTTGGGCATCCCCGCGTGGTACTGAAACCGTCATCAACAGTCGACACAGAGCCGAGCAGGTCCACAACGCGAGGAATGAAAATAGAAGCGAAAGTTGCCTTGGGATTGTAATTTAGACGTCTAACTTTTAATTTAGTTTGTTTATCTGAAGGCTTGTAGGGTCGTGTGTGCCTGCTGGCTGAACAGCACCATGTTTATCTCCTCGCAGAGCTCAGCACCCTCCTTCAGAGATTTTACCCTCGTCATGGTGAGTGACGGACGAAAATAATCCTCCCATCAGTTCCTGCTTCATGCTTTCATATGAGACTCGTGTAATCACCAGGGAAAAACAAAAGCTTCACTTCTGTGATTTTCATCCAAGAAACTGGCTGTGTATAAAAATACCTTTAATTCCTACACGTGTAATGCAAAAGTCCTGTTAAACCCCTTGGATTCAAGCTGGGTGTTTGCGCCACGGTTACAGCCTTATTGTCCACTGTGGAGGGACGCAGAGGCACAGTCTTGAGCCAGCCCTTATTTCTTTGTATTTTCAGAGCAGTCTTTTTGTGTGTCAAGCCACTAAATATTTACCTGTGAATCATTCAAGCTCATAAAAGACACCTAACTCAAGGGATGAATGAATGACACATGACACTACGCGCACCCTGTCACGATAATGCATGGCAACGTTTATTCCCATTGTTTTAGTTACATCTATGGAAAATGTTAAAGAATAATAGTACAAATTTGTTTTTGCCTGCTGTATTTCCATGTATGTTTGAACAATTTGTTGCACCTGTTTTCCATTGTTATTGCAAAATATAAAGAAATAAGGGGTGACTTTAAACTTGCACAGTGCAATAAAACTACAAAAAAAAATGCAACTGTCCTAAAACTTGAAAAAAACTTAGAGGCCTAGTAAAAACTGGACCTCTCTAACGCATGTTTTTCTTTATCAGATGTTTTGCACAACTAAAATGTGCTCAGGAAAAGGAAAAAGTGATTAAAACGATTCTCGCCTTCTCTTTACTTTTGTTACTTCTCTCCCTCTTTCCTCCTCCAGCCTGCGGTGGCTGTAGGTAACGTGGGTCAGCTGGCCGTGGATCTCATCGTGTCCACTCTGAACATGAGTAGGGTGGGCCACATACACACTGACTGTCTCATCCCTATGGCCGGGAACAACCCGTATGCCAGCAGCAAAGAAGATGGCGAGGAGCTGCACACTCCTGCTGAAGGTACAGTTGGGTCACTGCTGGTGCCTGTCTAACACAGAGATGTCGACATTTCTGATCAGAAATTAAAAACAAAAACAAAACAACTCAGAAATGTTCCCTTCAAGTCTACTGTCTCTTTACTGCTGTGCGCTGGGATGTCCGCTATCCCAACTGTGATCTTCTGGTTGTTTTTAATCAGCACTGTCTTATTAGTTGACATTAGTCCTGTTGTTGTCAACCATCAGTCAGGTGATCAGCAGTTTTGTCTGCAGCTGCTGTGAAGTCAAAAGAAAAGTAACCCTCTGTAATCCACAGTTTACGCAGCAGCAGAACTGAAGCTGGCGGTCCTTCAGATCAGAGCACCAATTCTTCAGGTAACAATCAGTCATCAGTATGACGTCAGTTCATTCTCTGAGTTCCCTTCATACTGTATGCCTATTGTTGTTTTCTTTTGTTCTACCTTTGTTTAAACTGCAGTCAAAGACCAAAAAGTTTCGTCAGCTGCTCGTGTCCTGGATCAAATCCAGCGGCTTCTCCAGGACTGTCGTCCTCTCCAGCAGCCACGCCTACCAGAGAGATGACCAGCAGCTGCAGGGGTAAGTACGACGCCATCGCCTTATTTCTTCACTTTTGCATTTTTCAATCATGTCTGCTCAACAAACACGTGTCTCTGCTAGCACTCCTTTGAGGTACCTGGTCACGCCGTCCCTGCTGAAAGGGAGCGCGGACGCTTTGAAGGAGCTGGGCTGGAGGGAAATGGAGCGAGTCCCGGCCTTCCCCGGACTCACAGACGGAAACACGGAACCACGACTCTGCATCCCCGGAGGAGGCATCACCAAAGGACTTTACACAGACAGGTAGAGACAGGAGACCTGCAGGTAGACAAAAGATCATCAAAAACACAGGGAGCTGGTTTTAAAATGATTTTTATTTTTGTGTGTAAGAGCATGGGTCACTGTTACAGTTTAATAATTATTCCAATATAAATCACAATAAAGGTGTGTTCAGACACTTTTTCAGTATGTTGAAACGCCTCAGTAAGACTTCCTTGTTAATATTATTTGTGTTTGTGTGATCACGTGTGCTGCACAGTTGCAAAGAGGACCTCCCGCTGGCTGTGCTGCTGCTCTTCTGTTCAGAAGGTGACAACATCCCCGATGCCTTCGCTCTGGCGAACCACCTCAACGACTGGCTCCATCTGCTGGACGATAATGTAAGTGACACCACGGCGCAGCATTAAAGCAACCTAAAGTTTCAGAGGAGTGGTAATGTCACTGTGAGGAGAATCATTGTTCTCCAATTCTCCTTTCAGAGCAAACAGCCCAACAAATGGAAGATCCCGACTTCCTGGAGTCTCCTGTTTGGAAACGGCATCCCGCCTGCACTGTTCTGATATGTATAGTGTTTTAGTTTTTTACCCTCTATAATTTGTGTTTAATGCAAGACGTTTGCTCCACATATTGTCGTTTTCAGACCTCAGCAACTCTCGACTGGGGTCAAACCCGGTGACTGATGGCAGCGCTGACATATAGAAAGATGGAAATTGCCCACATAAATCTCCTCCGTCTTGGAAATGTATCTTAAATAACTCAAACATAACAAAATAAAATGTACAAATACAGGATGTGACCCAAACATTCACTTCTGGACTGCTATTTCCTGGTTTAAAAAAATGTTTTTCTAATAAAACGTTGCTACAGGAATGTGGTGTGAATTCATCTTGATTGTGGATCACTGGATTAAGCCTCCACCCACTTAACTGAAAGTGGTTGGCCAGGCTCCATGCTGTATTCCTGGCAGTCCCACCTCTCTGTAATTTGATTCTTTTCTACAACCTATAATGGTAACAACAGCACAACGCTCCGATTCAAGCCATTTTGTGGTTTTCCTTTCAGTCTGAATCATTTTCTGTGTGTAGACCACTTGTGGGAAAGGAATGTCCTGCTGACAGCAGAGATTTTTTTTAAGGGAGAGCAATAAAATAAAGTCCTGGATCTGAATAATTTGAAAGAAACAAGTAAATTTGAACTGAGGACATTAAATAAAATGGTGTATAAGCAGTTGAGGATTCCTAGTATAGTTTTGTATCTTGGATTTGTTTTCAGTTTCATTTTCACACTTTTGTTTGCTCATTTCAGTTCAGTTTTTACTGCTAATGATTTTTCAAGTTATTACTTTTAATTATATCTTTTTAAATTAATATGGGGGTATTCATCAGGGGCAGATTTAAGGAGTTCAAAGCATTTTTTGTAATAAAAGCACTCTACTAAGTGCCATTTAGGCATAAATAAGTTATTAAATATGTACACACAAGCCACTTAATGTTTATTTGATAGGCATAATTGACCACATTGAAGAAGAGGAAAAAAGAATATTGTTTTGGTTATTTTTTTGTTAGGGTACAAAAGATACTCACCTGTTTCTGTAGTTATACCTTTTCAATTGCTCTAATAATCGAATCAATCAATCACACGGCAGCAACTCAGTGCATTTAAGCATGTAGACATGCTTGAGATGACATGCTAAAGTTCAAAACAAGCCTCAGAATGAGGAAGAAAAATCATTTAAGCCACTGGTGAATGTGGTGTGGTTGTTTGACGTGCTGGTCAGAGTATTTCACAAACTGCTGATCTGCTGGGAGTTTCCCCCATAGCCATCTCCAGAGTTTCCAGAGAATGGTCTGAAAAGGATAAAATATCCAGTGATTTTCTGGATACCTTGTTGGTGTCAGAGGAGAAGCAGAGGACTGCTTTGAGCTGACAGGAAATCAGTAGTAACTCAGAATTACTGGTTACAAATGAGATATGCAGAAGTGCAAACCACGCTGGGTGCCACTCCAGTCAGCCAAGAACAGGAAACTGAGGCTTCAAAACTAAACAATAGAATAAATTTGGAAGTATATTTCCTGGTCTGATGAATCTGCTGCAACAATGAGACAGTCAAAACTGTCCTGTCATCAGCAGTTCAGCCTGCTTCTGGTGCTGACCACGCCCACTTCCAAGTCTTGTTTTTATTAGTCGTCCCATTTCTTAAGCAAGAAGCTGCATTTTGTTTTCTATATAGTTTTAATTCAGGTTTTTAATTCAAATATTTTAATACTGACAATATTTCTTATCCTAAATTTTAGGATTCTCTCACATCCTGAAATTAGATAGAAGATTATAAGATGCCACGGAAGTAAACCAACAAAATACAACATAGAATAAAATTTGAACACAATAAATTGTTCATGGACAAACACAACTATTTTAAACTGGGTTTTTTCTGTTGTATAGCTCTTACTATATTTACTGGGTCTCAGCATTTACAACCACTGTGGGCAACAACCTACATACTGCTAGTTTAGCTTAGTATGAAAACTAAAGGAAAAACTGACAAAAATCTATCCTCCTGCTACTAAAAATGTTTAGTTTTACATCTTGAACACCAAATCATCATAAAATTACATTTAAAAAATGACTAAATATAATTTTATGGATGGTTATGTGTCTTTGTAATCTTCGTTTAGCTTACAACTGATAATTTTAGCTAACCAAATACTAATTCTTCCAATTTATCCAACTTCTTTTCATCCAAAAGAAGACATATATTATTGTTTTAATATTATTATTATTATTGTTATATTTCATTAATATAGCACCAAACCAACAGGTTTGTAGATAAATAACCACAGAAGAACAGTTTGTATGTAAACTAGATGATACCAGTTTTAATTACAGATTACACTCTAAAAAACAAAAACAAACTTAAGACAATTTGTTTCAAAAGGAGAACAAGTCAGCTTTAAATCAGCTTTCTACTTTATCCAGGTGTGTAACATAAGCTTTCGTCCTTTTTTCTTCTTCTTTTGGTATTCAGGGTTTCCTTTACAAGCAAAAATATGTCATTTTGTACACATCTCTCTTAAAAAAAAAAAGAAGAACACTATGTACATCATGGAAACATTACATGTCACTGAATTTCTCACATGGGAGCAAGACAGTGTGTTTCATTCAGCCGGCCCCACATCACCTGAAAAACTTCAAGTAATTTATTATAAAAAATAGAACATTTTTTACTTTTGCCTCTGAAAAAATGTTTTTTACCCTTTTCCAAAAATACACATATAAACAGCATTACAAATTGGCAATGCATAGCCCCTATTTTCAGTCTGAATTTCATGAATGTAAATGAGCGTAAAAGAATGAGAAAGCTGCAAAATAATATTATTAATGCCAAAAAAGAGAGCGAGAGAAAGAAAAAACAAATCTTTTGACTCCGGAAGCAGCATTGACAGTTTAAGGTTGAGGTGTGGCCAGAGGGGTAAAGCGCTGGTGTGCTTGTCTTTAAACGAATGTCAAAGTGTCCACTGTAAACAATGAGGATGAGAGATCGGAAAGGTGAGCCGGAGGTGGACGTGATGTGTTCCTGATGGTAGAAGAAACAGAAATGTTGGCTCTAACTAATGATGATAGGCCGGTATGCAAGGGAAAAAAAAGACACACAAGCAATGAAAAGGAAAAGGAGCGCTAGCTGAGGACATGGAGGTGAGGAAGATTGGGAGAGAGCTGGAGTTCCCTGCCGATGTTGGCTTTGCTGCCAGAGTTGTGGCTACAGGTGGAGGTGGTTAGTAGTCGCTGGTTTTCGCCCTGTGAAAAGAAAATAAAGAAAAATAAGTTCCTGTTAAACTCAAAAAAACTTTTTTCTGTCGGTCAGTGAAGCTTAAGAGTGATCAAAGGAAGCCGTGCTACGAAAAATCCCGTTAGTATCTTAGGCTTGGCCGAGCTGCCGTGATGAAACCGCAGAAAGCAGGAATCTAAAGATCACTTTGATCACATCAACATCAGACCGACTATCAGAGCAGCAAAAGCAGCTGTTATGCTTAATAAAACTCGTCACACTCACAGGGGGTTTCCTGCATACAAAAATCCCCCCCAAAAGAAAAAGATCACCACAACTGTTTATTTGTTTATGGCCAGCAATACCATAGTAACCTTTTGTAACTTGAGGTCTTTGTCTCAACCAATCATATTTATGTACCCTCCAAAGGCTCGATGAGAGCCAGGAAAACCCCCGAGTGGTTCAGAAGCTTTCAGCTGAAACACGAAAATGTTTCGTTATTTTAAAGCGTCCAAAGACATCCCTGTTTCGTTCTTTGCTTTTAGGACTAGCTTTTAGATACCAATATGATATTTCAGTGCCCAGTGTTTGTTTTAAAAGGCCAACCTCCAACAGTATCCAGCTGCTGAAGTTGCTCGTGTTTCGACTGCTGGTGTGGTTTGCCCTGTGCTGCTGATGATGCGTACACTTGGCTGTGGTACTGTATGAATCTGTGCTTCTGTGGGGAACGTTACCAACACACTACTGAAGTTCAGGTATACAGAAATGCTACAGTGTAGTACCCAGCCGCACCCAGAGTACAGTAAAGGTAAGGAGTCTGTTAATTCAAGTCTATCATGCTCGAGTAAATTCTATTTCAACAAACAATGGCAGTGATTTTTATTGCACTTTCTGGAGGGTGCCAGAAATTCCTCTAGGCAGGAAAAGCCCTGCACACAACTGTAGTATGTAGTCATAGAGTCAAAGTGAGCTACCAAACCAGCTCCTCCAGTTCCAACGTGCAAGGGTAAAGACGTAGTGTAATCACAACCAACAATGGTATGTTACGGATACAGCCAAGCTTTTCCCCACATCTCAGAGAAATGTTCAATATTTTTGTAAAGTAAAGCAAAAGTTGCCCTCTCCATTAGATCTAATGATCAGTGCTAAAATGAAGAACGTAGATGACTGCTGTAGAGCTGGAGTCGGGCCTGAAATTACACTTACATTAACTCTGACTGCTTTAATAACACATCAAACTACATGTGTGTAGTTTCAGCCTCTTCCGTTTTGAGGTCTGGGACTGTTGGTTGGATAGAAGTAAACACTGAAGCGCTTTACGTAACTTACAGGCACTTCAACTATTTCCAGACACACAAGCAAAGAAAAAAGAAAAGAAAAGAAAACGATCTAAAAATTAGTTGTTAGTTGAGCAACAGGAAGTGTTTTTGATCTTCCAGCCTGTTTAAGTAAGAAAAGCTGCTGATTTAATATTCAAACTTTATAAAGTCCAAAACACAATTGATGCACTTCACAATACACAAATCCACTAGGAAAACAGACACAATAAAGTCCTCAAGATAGAAAAAACATGCAGCAAATCCAGACATATCCACTCATTATTTTAAAAAGTTAAGCCAAAGCAGATGTTCTTTAAACCTGCATTCTTTCTATGTGGGGGGCAACTGTTTAGGGAGGCTTTCCGAATTCAACAAGATTATTTTAATATATTTTACTGTCTGCATTAAGTTAGAAGAAAAAGGATCACAAATCAGGGTACGCCTTAGCAGAGCCACAGGCAGCTGCAATCAGCTGTGTACTCTTTAGACTGTTTTTTAATTATCATCCTGAAAATACATCAATATATCTTTGAACTCTTTGATTTGTGTGTTTGAGATGCACTTCTGGCTGCTTCCTCTCACAAATGTTACAATGACACAGGTGAGGTTCCAGAAGTAAAAATCCCATTCATGTTCTCCAGGAGGATTTTTGATTATGGGCCATAAAACCAAAAAAACAAAACTAGCCTACCCACAATCTTAAATTGAAAAATTTTACAGCAATACAGAAATGAAAAGAATTCAGTTTGATTAGGTTTTGCACTATTGGGACGAGTAATTTCTTCACCATTAATTGTGTACCCAGTAATGCACCTTTTTTCTTTTGTTTTCCTTTAATTTTGTGATCCCAAACAAAGATTTTTATGGTCATGCTTTACCTCATGGGTTGTTTGGCTTTGATCAAGGCCTAAAACTCTCAGTATGAGGATTTTAGGAAAAGTAAATAGAGAAAATGAATGGGGAAATTCACATCTGGAACCAGAGCCTTTTAAAAAAAAAAAAGCTTTTCTGGTGTTTCACTGCTACTTTGGCAGTGCTGCTTATTTTGTGTGTTAGCCAGCAAATAGCTTAAAATGAGCTTTGTGAAAACAGAAAGCAAACTGCTGTGAGCAGCTAAGACTGCTGATTTTTCAAAAGTTAGCGCTGACTGCATCTTGATGTGGCGTTTGGAGGCGCACTTTCAGCTGCTTACAACAACCGAATATTTCAGAAATACATCGACTGACAAAACACCGAGTGGATTTCCGCTGGAGCACAGGTATCAAGATTTTAAAACTGAAGCTGTGGGCGTTTGACCATCAGTAGACTCAGCTGGGTTTTCAGTCAGACCCACTCCTCATTTGTCAGAACGGCAGGATGGAGGGCTTCATCAAAGGTCCAATCACTGATGTATTTTTCTATAACTGCCAAGGGACAATCTATGCTTCTGCCTTCTCTTTCCAGGCCTCCTTCCTTGCATGACTTTTATTTTCAAAGCAGAGGTTGTTGATTAATCTTTCGTACGCCCACTTTCTTGACAGGGTTTACTGCAGAGATAAAACGCTGACGGCAAATTCAAATATATGATGCATAATAATAATTAGCATTTTGCATTGTTCCAACCGAACCTGACATTTCAGAGTTTCGAAAACCAACAACCACAAATGTACTCACACTCGCGCAGCATGCTAGAGTGCAGCCAAAATTAACAACTCCAAAACCACAAGAGCCAAGCAAATCATCAAAGGAAGAACAAAACCCCAAGAGAAAACACAGCAATACACACTTACATACACACACCTGCACACACGCAAACACACAGACCTCCATGTACAAGAGTGGGTGTTCTTTCTTTTGTTTTGTTTTTTTAAAGCTGCGGGTAAATTTCGTCCGTTAAACGCGCTCTCCGTGGTTGTCGTTGCTGCCTCAGAGGGGGGTAAAGATACACCGCCCCCCGCCGGACAGCCGAGCTCTTGTCATGTGCAGCAAATGCAGCCCAAACTGTCCAGGAGAACCACAACAACAGTGTAAGATCTTCACAGAAATGGCGCAGTTTTGCCTGTATTACTGGAACAACGCTGACATGTCACACAACAAAGGCTGCCTTCTCAGAAGTGATTCAGTGAGAAGCAGTTTTTTTTTTTCTCTTGAGGTGCACTGTCATCAGAAATAAGGTGTCAACCTGTGCCTTCATGAGAACGTAAGCTGTGTGTCAGCTGGCTAGGCAAGAGGAGTCGATGCATAAGAATTATGAGAAACAGAAACAGAAAATTATAAAAGCTAAAAAAAATGAAGTTTCAAGACCGACTTGGGGTAACTTCTGCTATTAGAGGTTTAAGTCACACACTGGGAAAGCCTGTGTATCCCTTAAAGTAAATTAAAGTGTAGCTGAAAAATGACTTGTATCCTCTTGTATTTGACATCGTAACAGTGGTCAAATAAAAATTCTTCTCCGCTGTCTACAAGAAAATAAAGACCTAAGAGAGTGCAAAATCATTCGATGCCTCAATTTATGCATTTTAACACCTCGCTTACTGCTAAAGCCATTTATTAAATACAACACAGTGGTGTACCTGACTTCCATTGGGGTAATTAACCCCAATGGACTACCTAAATTTGCCCACGTTGATTATTTTTTACACACATATGTAACGCTTGGCAGTCCAAATTTCAGCAGGTACTGACATGGTGCATGAAAAATCATCCCAGAGAACACCAACTTGATGATTTGACTATAAAAAACAAAAAAGAGAGTAAAAAGTGGTTTAAACCAAAACTTTAATCACCTTTTTCTCTTCCTCTCAGAGTCATTTGTCCTGGACTTGCTTTGGGGTGTCTTGGCTGTGCTCGATTTGGAGATGCTGTCTTCCCTGCGTCGTTTTCTGCGTAGAAAGGAGGAACGCAGGTAAACAGTTGTTTAGTAACAACGGTACATTTAATTTTTTTTTTACACATGTAGCCTGTAGCCAAGTCCAAATGACACCAAACAGAGACGGTATAGTTTAACATTTTGTCATCAGTTTTTACTCCTGGTTTTATAGATTCTAGTTTTTCTCAGATTTGTTTCCAGAGTGGATTTTCTCATTTCAGTTTGGTTCTCATTAGAATCAGTGTAAGTTTCAGTATTTTCAGTTATTATAATGTGGGAAGTAATTGCCTGGGATAGAATAAAGAAGTCAGACCAGTTTTAAAACACACTTTATAATGACAATCGGCTGTGCTGACAAATGTGATCAAACTGAAAAAGTCTAAAACTAAAGATGTTTCCTCTAAGTTTGCCATTTAAAATTTAAGTACAAAGTGTCATTTCAGTTAATTTCATTGTTTTGTTTGGTTTTTTAATCCCAGTTTAATTTTTTCTTCTATTTTTTATGGGTTTCATCGGATTCACTTTACATCTATCCTCACTCTGACATTCATACTTTGTTAGAAGTTGAACCAGTAATAGGTCAATCAGCTGATTATTGGCTGATAATCTACACACGCTTTTTGTTTATCAGACTCACTGTACTGACTGTGCTGTGCTGCCATCGAGCTCCTGCTCCTTGCAGGGAGACTGTGCAGGCGCTTTGCCGTCCTGTCTGTAGTCCCCTCCGTCCTCCTGCTGGCTGCCATTGTGCCGCTCCGTCGGACACCTGGCCTGTGGCTGAGGTGCAGGGGGAGACTCTGATAGCGGCTCCTGATCTTCCTTGGATAATTCCCGCCACTGATTCTACACGGAAAGATTGACAGCAAACAGGATGGGAACAGCAGTACTTTTTTCCAGTGACAAAACATTCTGTGTGTTTCCACTCTGTAAAATGACATTGTGCAACAAAAGTATATAGAGCAGGTTAGGTTTATGAGGTTAAATACGTAAATACAACGCAGAGCGCCTGGTGCTGCATGCAAAGGACTGTCTCAGATAGCATTTTTCAAGGATAAGGATTCAAAGACAATACAATGTAAAATCTGTCTACCTTTTAGGACTCTCAAAAGAAAACAAAACCTAAATTTTAAGAAGAATTTGGTAGTGTGTATCGCAGTCTTCTAAACCTATTAGCTCTGAATACATTACTGCTGTGTCCTTGTCTGCTCTTGTCTTCATCTCCACAATAATTGCTGAAGACAGAGAGCAAAGACGGAAACAGTTATTTTGTAAGTAAAGACTAAAAGTTGACTTTGTATTCGGTTTGTAGCAGTGTTGGGGTAATGTATTACACATTTATTGTTAGTTAACTACTCCCTCGAGGGAGTAATTAGTTACACTACACGTTACATGGCAATCGCCATGGTGATTCTACTGTAGAAACATCAACAGGGCGTAATGGAGGGTATAGTCTGACTGCTCAACACTTCCTTTGTTACGTGTTGAAGATCAGGCTCTGGGTGCTGGGCTGAGGACTGCATGCACTCAGCTTTAACATCACTCTGAGTCTTGCCTAGCTTAGCATTTGCATGCTGTCTGTGCAGATGTTTGCAAAGAGTCAAAGTTGTATTGTATTAGCATATATTGTATTAGCAGTATAATACAATTGTTTCCATCCTGGACGCAGTTTGCGCTTTACAATTGCACACTCGCCCTTTTGCGCAACAAAAAATTTCTGTTTACTACTTCAACAAGTGCGCAGGAAGCAAAAAGCAATAATTTTCTTGGGAACACATTGCACCCAGCAGGATCATAGTGATGCACACCAACCAAATCAGTGTGGCCATAATGTGGCTCCCTTACTGACAAATATAGTTCCCTTGATTTACAACTTGGGGATTTTGTAGATAAATAATATTCCTTCCATATAAAGTAAACAGATACCATGCGTTTGATTTATATTTACTGCTATACTTGTGTTTATCTATGTGTCCTAGAAAAGCTCAGACTCAACACACAGTCTGAGTTTAAATGGAAGAACAGAATACCAATGTTTTAGTTATCATTTTCTTGCATTGTAATTCACACTGGGCTTATTATAATACTTTGTTTGAGCCTTCAGATCTCAAGTTGTCAGCCTGGCTTTCCAATCCCCAAATATTCCACCATCTCTCTTTGACTAATTCACAAAGTAAGCCCCCAGTAAAATATGAAAATATTTCGCAGTCTGCTGATTCTAAATCTTTTTCAGAAAAAAATAACTCCTGCTAAAAAAGTGGGACTACACACAGGCCTCCAAATTTACACACGAACAACGGATTGAGAAAGAAAGTCACCTAATTGTTTTTTATTTTTTTATTCCTGTCTGGAACAGCTACCTGTACAGATGAGTCTCCCATGATAAACTTTGCCCCTTCAAGGACAGCCATGTATGAGAATCGCAGCTGATCAGGAGTCTGAATCAGGCCCATTCGGTATTTCCTCATGTTCAGCAGGATGCTTTTGATGTCTACTGATGAGGGGTCTTTCCTCTTGTCCATCTAGAAGATACAGCAATAATACACATTTCCATTAACCAGAAGGAAATCCCAAATCTCTTTATGTTAACCCATGTTTTCAAAGGGAAATCCAAATCAATTTAATCTCCATTATTTTTTCATCTACAGCATAAACTTGTAAATAACCTGAATGTTTGAGTCTGTATTTTTAAGTTAATCCTGTATTTATTCAAAGCACTGTCTGTTTTGGAAGGCTATAGTGAGTAAACTCACATAAAATAAGGACAGTGAATGGTTAACTACAGTACAACATTATCACTCTGGAAGCCTGCCAGATTCTGTCAATGAAACACAAACACAGTGACAGCTTGCCAGCTGGTTTAGAGGAAAAAGGAGCTTTCTGACATTTCCCAACAGGCTTTATTTCCAGGATGTTATATAAACTATCAAAACCTGCCTCTAAAGCTACACCTTACTGTGCTCTTTTAGGAGGAAGGGCAAGCAAAGACAGCCATAATTTCAGTGTAGAAGTTTTAAAAATATTTTTGTACCTTTACACTGCGTTTTCTCAAAATGCAAAACTGTGTTGTATTTGGAGTGTGGGATAAACGTAAATGTACTTCACTTTTATTTTTTCGGCATTTTTTCTCTTATATCTATGTGCTTAAGGTGCTTCAGTCAGACATTCAAACACAATTATTTTCATATTTAAGCGCCAATGGATTCATTACGAAAGTTACTGAGCTCATGCCATTTCTTAACATAAAGTGCACATACAAATGTCAAATAATAACTTGTGTGTTAATCTTTAAAATAAGCACAGGTCAAAGAGGGCAAACCTCGCCCAGGGCAGCGCACCCTCTGGGCAGTATTTACATTTAAGAGAACAGTATTGTATTTTGTATATATTCATTTTGTTTTTGTTTTCTTTGTCCTTTTTCAACGTAAATAAGAAAATGTGTAGTACATTGAAAATAACAGATTCTGAGGTCAACTCGAAGGAAAGGCATATGTGAAATGTAAAAGTGAGGACACAATTAAACTTCGATCCAAACTATAAAGTGATTTTTAAAATCCCCATGTATCAGTTTCATTTCTTAAATGTTGCCAATACAAACAAAGGCAGCAGAATTTAAGGAGAGTTTTAAACACAAAAGATCTTTTATGGCGGTTTGACCTTATTTCACCTTGAAGAAGAGGACAGAGGTCCAAAGTAACAATATACTTAGAATCCCCATATAGCACTGCCTCTATGTTGTCAATACAAACAATGGCAGTAAGAAACACATTTTTAAATATCTCTATATAGCATTATTATCTCTTTGACCTTTAGCTCAATCTGTTGACTGTGAAGGAAAGATCAGAGGTCAAATGTGGCATGATATGATAAATCTTTCTATATACCATACTTTCTATATGTTGACAATACACTGCAAGCTTCTAAGACTTGTAGCTTCTAAGTTATAAAGCTTTTTTAGTAATTTTCGACCATTAAATCAATATGTTGACCCTGAAGACATTGGTGGATGTAAGCCAAATTTTAATGGACCATTAACATGACCCCACTCTACACCCCTACAAAGTTTTATCAAAATTCATTCAAAGCTTTTCAAGCTATTGTGCTTACAGGCAGAATGACACACACGCAAACACTACTACAAAAATAATCTCCTTGGTGGAGGTAGCAAAAATACATGAAACGCATTCAGTCGGAGCTTGCGTAGAACAAAGACCCAGGACTTACCAGGACCAGGCATGTGTCAACTAGTGAAAACGTCCCTGAGCGTCCGATTCCAGCGCTACAGTGCACCACAGCTGGTCCTTGATCTGTGCCCAGTGCTCCAGATTCCCGCACCTTAAAGAGGAAGTTTAGGAAGGAAGCCGGGGACTCGGGGACACCAAAATCGGGCCACGTTGTGTAATGAAAGTGGTAGAGCTCCCTTTTCTCCCCTGTCTGTGAAAGGAGATAAAGCAGGGCTCACTAGCAGTTAAACTCTAAAACTTTGCTCTATGTGTATTTACACTTTCAGTTGTCTTTATCAGTGCTGACTGGGGTAACTGGAGGTTACTTCAGTTTAAGAACTGGACTTGGCAAACAAGTCAGCAACAACACTTTCAGTTTCTTTTTGTTGAATAAACCTGCTCCTGAAAAAACACCAATCCAGCAAAATAAACTTGGCTGTAAATTTCCATTAAGAACGCTCCTTTTGGCGCTCATTTTAAATATGATGAAACAAGTAGCAGGAGGATTACAGAAACTCAAAATTAAATGATTTGATTTTACGCTGTACTTTGTGCATTTGCCATTTATTTAAAACGTATCAGACTGCTCTCTTGCATCGTTTGCACCTCATTTACATTTTCCATCGACATCTTCCCACCTCCACACTGCAAAACCTTTGTTTGCGTGGGAGAAAAGCTTTGTAAAAATCTGATAAAAAAACAAAACATAATAATAATATGTGTCATTAGTGAATAAGGGCAAATCTTTGGTGTGAAACCTCTAAATTTTACTTCTCCTTCGCCACCTTTTGCTGGTAATTCCCCACACTGAGTAATGCTGTGGCCTACTTGAATGTTCTGCAGCTCCAGCCTTCTGGTGGTGTAGTAAGACTTGGTGTCTTCTGACAGCAGTGTGACCAAGAAGCGTGTGTCTCTGAAGGCCATCTCCCTTTCCTCTGCTGTGGGCCAGTACTGGGCACACTTTTCCTATCACATGAGAGGAAACACACACATTAAAAGGAGAAGTAGAAGCGGCTATTCAGGGACGCTGAATAATAACTTTACACACATTGCAGTCAAATATCTTCTTAATTCTACCCGGTGACACTGACGCTAACGTCACATGACACAAAACATGTATAACTCTGCTTAAAAAAAAGTATTTGTGTACTTCCTTCCTGTAGACGTTTATGTCAGTTAGTCCCTGCCAAATGTAAAGCCTTGTTCAATTCCAATTCAGCAAGTCTAAGTTTATCACTCAACTTTGCCAATCTACAGAGAAGATCCTTGTGAGTTTAAAAATATCTGTTGATTAGGTGCTCTGTATCTTTCATTTCAAAGAAAACCGGCACAGAGTGATTCTCATGACCCAGCAGGATCCACTTCAGCTGCTTTACGGAGAAACAGAGAGGTCACAGCTGCTCTGCACGACAGACTTTTAGTGTGCGTGTTTAATCTGAACATTGCAGGATCACTGGAGTTAGAGGAGTTGAGAGGTTTGGCTGCATCCCAGATCCACTCAATACATCTGTGTGTGAACACACTGTCAAAACACTGAATTCCAGTAATCCTGCTGACAGGAGGAGGGCGAGAGTACATACAGATTAAGCCTCTAAAATTTATAAACCCACATTTTTTCACGTTTCATGTTGCAGCTCTGCATCCAGACAAAAAACAAACAAACAAAAACACAAAAACACATTTCTCCCACTCAAATGGAGCTTTTCCAAAATGGCTTTTGCAGTGTGTAAATATAAGGATGCCAGGTTATTGTTTCAGTGTGTGCAGAGTAACACGAGCGTGTCAAAAAAGACAACTTAAGCCATCCTTGCGAGGTCTGTCGGCCAGTGTTGTAAGAAAAACAAATTCCTTCAGGTTTCATGCCAGTATAGGCAAAAAAAACACAGTAGAGCTGTTATCAGATAATGTTGTGATTATGAAAAAAAGGGGCTTAATATCACATTGTGACATCTCAGGAATGCTGGTTTGGAAAATAAAAACAAAAGATTGCATTTTCAGCCAGATTTAAAATCGCTACAGAAAAGGACGATACTAAGATGTGTAAGGAACCGACCCTGTTGAGTAAACAGCTGTCTGTGAGGCCTCAGTTGGGGGGTTGAGATTATCCATCGCCATCACCGACTGCCTCTTTTTACCAAATGTTGGCTTTTTGTTGCCAAGGAGGTCACGTGATGCTTAGGTCTGTCCATTTGTTTGTTTCCCTGTTTATTAACAGGATTACTTAAAGCTTAGTGAAGGATTTGAATGAAAATATTTACCAGAGAGTGTGGGCCTGGGCCAGCTTAAAAGTAATTAACAACTGAAGTCAAGTCAAGACTTGGATGTGGGAATTTCTCTACTGTTGTGATGAGACGAGGGAAAATTGAACCCTTTGCAAATACACATCAAACCGAAACACTGTGAGACCTCGCTGTGAAGTTCTTAGGAAAACGTCATTGGATCCATGGATGCAGTCATGATTATTGGATATTTCATCGTGGATGTAAATGTGGTGTGTTACTTGACATCTGACCATTTAAAAAGTTTAATATGAGCACTAAAAAGTGCTTAAATTATTTCACACTACCAGCAAGCAAGTAAGTGTGCGTGTGTGTGTGTGTGGCTGAAGATAAAACAGTCGATCTCTTGACAAGTTTTTCTGTGGTCTATTTGATATTTCTGCAAATTTCTGTGTGTGGGTGCACACAGTCGAATAACAGAAGTCATACCAGAGAGTGTAATCTGTATCTGCTGTACTCTACACTCACCGAGCCTTTCTCTATGACTCTGTTGAGCATGATGACTGCTTTGGTCTTTTGCTCCCAGATCATGAGCCAAAAGTGACCACAGGTGTTCCTGAGGGGGCCCTGTGGACAAAATAAATAAATAAATAAACAGAAAAACAAACAAACGCTTCAATCAGTTACACAGCTGGAAGAGTGGGAGGTCCACAAAACAAATTCATGTGATGTCTATGCTTTGAACAATAACATCAGATCCACTCAATATATTAGCCATGCAACACACAGAGGTTGGTCTCTAATCTTATGGTCAGCATGCCGCAGAGATTTGCCGCATGACAGCAAGAGTTAAAGATCAAAACTGCTAAAGGTTACCATGTGGCTGAGCTGAGTAAATTATTGGTGGGCTGAAAACCATCAAAATGTCAAAGGTCTTTCATGAGTCTCTTAAAAGTCTGCCTTTATGTTCAGAATACATAAGACAGAGGTACAGTAGTCAGTAGTCTCTGCTGCATTCCTGCTAAACAGAAATAAAAAATACAAGTGCTTAAACATCAAGATGACCGGCTCATTTCTTTGATATTAAAAAAACCCTGCTCCTTCACATCAGGACCTCTCCAACATTAGACACATTCAAAACTCTTTGAAAACTCTTTTTTATTCTTCAGCATTTCAATCATAATGAGTTTCAATTTATGATGCCTTTTTTTCAAACTCTGTTGATAATTTTACAGCACTTTGTTTTTAAATGTGCTACAGGAATTAACTTGACCTCACGAGCCATTTCTCTGGAGTTATGCTGAGGAACATTTTACGCGGTCTTCAGTCGTCAGCCACAGAGAAGCCCATCATCACAGCCAAGAAAACATAACATACGGGATTAAAAAGAAAGAAAATTAAAGGATTAAAAGTTTTAAAAAAAAATCATCATCACATTTATTGATGTGGAAAGTAACTGCTGCAATTTTGGTTATAGTTTTAAATGTGTAATGATTGCTTTGTGTAACTACTTTCAGCTGACTCTGATCAGACTAGTGGGATGCTGTAACATTTTAACAAACCACAGATGACTCATCTCCAAAGAAGCAATACAAGAAAACAAAAAGTGTGAAAAAAAATAACCCACTGGATGTTATGGATGACTGACAGAACTCAAGTGTGTAAGACTAGACTAAAAAATGTTGTTAGTCAACATCTCAAAAATATCCTCCGGCCCAACTCTTTACAATCTGTTACTGAAGTGAGAAACACGCGATACAGGGTTGTCGTGTTTAATCGTGAAAACGCTCAGTAGCTTTAAATTAGCGAGGTAGCAGTCAGTGCATGGTGAGCAGAATCATAAATAAAGAGTCTTATCAGCCCGGGCTGTTTAACTGTGGTGATGACCGTTGAAGTCATTTGTCCTTTCATTTCCTGAAGACTTGAAAATATTCAAATCTGTGTAGGAAGAATGCACGTCTGGTTAAGAACCAATGGTAAAGGTTTTGGTTTCATACAACGTTTTGCACCAACTGAAACCCGTCACATGATCACCACAACTCTTGTGGCATGAATTCCTGACTCTTAAAGAGAGAATTTCAGCTGATATTTGTAATAACTGTGTCCTCAAAATGTCAACAACTATTAGTCACGCCAGATAACGTAGCAATAAAAAGAATTTCAAAGGCTAATTATGTGAAAACACCCTTTAATTCTTTTCAAGAAGCAATAAAAGATCAGTGTTCCTTCTGATAAATAAAACTCTGTTAACGTGAGTGTTTCACAGCTTCTAGCCTACCTCTCTTCTCTCGCTTCACAAACTTGTGGTATTTCTTAGGTTTCAAATGACTTTTATCTTAATGTCATTATATAATATGTTGTTGCAGTCATTCTGATTTAATTAGTAAAGGCTAAAAAAAAATCACTGACAGAGTTAGTGATATAAGGAAATATTTTCAACAAAACTGCAATTACAACCGGTGGTAGAGAGATTTAGACATCATTATCCGACAAGCAGCAACCCTGGCAGCCAGCCTGCAAGCTGGATGAGACGTGCTGCTTCCAAAAGCATCTCTGTATTTCAGCAATTGTTTTTAAACACGAAAGCTTCAGTTCATGTGTAATATCCACAGCTTATGATGTAACTAAATATATTTCCACAGTTTTCAGGATGTCTTTTGCCATATCTTGTTCTTTGAGTTACTAGCAAACACACAACCACAGAAGATATACTGACCACACCGAGTATAATTAATATATACCATATCTTAGTGTTATATTAATATCTTATACAAACTGCCATGCTAATACAAAGTCCTGAATTTAAATATAAAGGATGAGAGAGGTCATGACAGTGTTGGTAAACATCTATTAGCACAATATTGATACAATAAGCACTACTGGACTTTCATGACGTTGAATTTAAATTGGCCATAACATCAATGACACAGTAGCTCATCCGTCACAATCCTTTACAACTCACAAAAAAATGTGACCTTGACTTTCAGCACAGTTTAAGTGAAGAGCTATTAGATAATCACCACGCGCATATTTTATTTCACTAAAATATGACAAAAACTCAGAGGAATAGTGGTTCTTGTGAACTGTGTTAGAGACGGCCACAGTTCACAAGAACTTGCTGTGGCATTAGACACGGTCCTTTGGCTGGATGAGCAAAGCAAATTAAACTAAACAATAAAACTAACAACAAAAACATGTCTGAATTAGTAAAAGGAACAGAATTACTAAGAAGTATTTTTAAATCTGTGTAATGGACCTCAGAACCTGTGCAACCAGACATATGATAGCTCAGCTGCCTCAGTAACAACAATGTGGATTTTGATTAACTGTCTACTTCTGACTGCTAATCTCCATATCAGGAACAACTGAGCTAAAATAATAAATGAAGCCGCCACAGGTGTGCCATGTGTGTAAAGGATTTGAATAAGCACATATGGATCATTATGGAACTTCCTATGACCAGCTTTCCTCATATGGGGGGGGTTTACTTTTTTAGCTATAATGCACCTTATACTTCACTCTGCTCAATAAAGTTCACCCTTTATATACCATCGGCTCAGCGGCCAGTCCATTTCACAGCCACTCTTTAACTGACTGTAATTCTGTCACTGTTTGTCCTACAGACAAAATTCAAACTGATCCGGAAGATAGAGAAAACCAACTTTATGGCAATATTTGATGTATCATGGCAACACAGTAGTATCTACAAGGTACTGTAGTCTGAATACAGACAGGGAAATCAGCTCTGCCTAGGTTTTACCATGTGTGCTTCACATTACCATAACTCATCAAACATTTTGGGATAGAGAGAAAATTCAAATGCCAGCTCAAAGATCAGAATTATTTTGTAGTTTTACAGCCACAGTAATTGGGGATTAAAGGGTCAAACACTGGTAACTGTATTGTCTTATGGTGTAAAACAAACCAAGTGTCCCCATAAGAAGAAAAAACAACTTTGTTTGGTGATGCTTAGTTTTTATACTGTCAGGTCCAATTAATCCAAAATAACTAGGAGAAATTAAAATTGTATTCTGAACAAGAGCTTTGGTCTCAGGAGGCGCTGGAAGCAAGAAGGACCACTTCAGTTTCTGTTTGTCAAACAGGGTTAGGTTACATTCAGAGGTAAGTCTCATTAATAACCTCTTACAAACAGGTCTATTCACGTCTGCCAAGTCAAGCCAGTAACCTGAATATTACAAAAAAAATCCTAATGTTCCCACTTTAATGCAGACTTTAACTCTTTGCTTCTTCTTTGATGTGAGAATGGGGGTAAAAGTGTGAGTCGATATCTCTAAACAGGTCGCCCTTAGTCAAATTCTCACCTGGAAGTTCGTTTTCTTGTGATAACAGATTGAGTTACTCAGCTCAGGGATTTGCTGTGCCGTGTTATGTCTATTTCCACATGCAAATAACTCTGTCTAACAGCAAATGAAACATCCAACCTGCTTTATTTATTTTGAGCTCTTTTAGTTTGGGTTTTGTGGATTTTTAGAAATTGGAGGCTGAGGTTAAATAACAAACCGGGTGGTAATTGTACACAGGTTAACATAATAAATAATTATGAGGAGAAGAAGGGCATATGCAGAAACTATTATGCAAACTAGCCACATGTACACAGTTTGATAAGAACTGGGGGGAAAAGCCACATTCATATAAATATTACAGAACTAAAAGTGTATATAGAGAGATATTTTAGGGCCTAAATAATCAGTCAGTGTTAATAAATAATGGACTATATGGACCTAAAAGCAAGATCCTTAACACTCTGGTGTCCAAACTACATGACCGATTTAAGATGACCTAGCATCTTAACCTTATCCTCACCGAGTCTAAGGTTTCAACTTGTGTCAAAAGCGCAGACTTCAAACTAAAAACATGACAGAGCAGTAAAGTATGTTTTAGTTTGAGGCATCTAAGTCCTACTGCACAAAAACAGATTGAAGCCAACAAAATAACCATGATTATGTTGTCTATCTTGTGGACCCATGTTGTGGAAGCTTATTAAACACTTTATGATGCGCTAATGATACTGTTAAACTACGTAAAATAGTACATACAAAAGCAAAACGTGTTCTGAATCACATTCAGCGTTATATTTTGAACATCTCAACAGATATTTGGGATTCAGGTATTTGCTTTAGTTTGATAAAATTCCAAGCACCATTTGTGGGGCAGGATTAGGGTTAGGAGATAGCACATATAATGACTTAGACCTCAGAGGGTTAACCATGGTGTAGAACTCCTTGGACTTGCCTGAGTCAGGATGTAACTCCTCTGGGCTTCCTCATTCACTACCAGACTTGCATTGATGTAGTCATTCTCTGTGTTCTTCAGCTTCACCCGACTGTGATCGACTGCAAGTGGGATAAGGGAAATGTTATTTGGGCATGGGCTGTGAATTGACAGGTAAACAGTCTGGCCTTTATACAAATGTTTACCTACATGGACTGACATCCCGATATCTGTTTCTGTTGCGATTCTCCGGATACTTTGCCACTTTGTAGGAACACTCGTGGGACTGGTTCCTGATTTCCTGGACAGCGGGAGTAAGGTTTAGCGACACAAAAGAAAAAGTAATGAAACAAATCACTACGTGTACCAAATTCAAGCGGTTACATTTTCAGTTCCGCCCCTCTCTGAGCATTTTCACTAGGCATATATTATCACATGAGAGCAATCAGAAAACCAGTTGGTTTACTCGTAAACACACGCGGTAACTTTCGGCAGTCATTACATATGAACTAAGAGCAGGATCTTCCCGGGGGGAGAGCGGATTTAACAGTGTAAACAAGTCCGTAGCTATGTAATGTCGCTAATCGCTTCAACCATATGCACGGGCTTATGACATTGACTAAGCTTTCGGTAACATTAAAAGTAAAGTATGTCAGCGACTTCTAAAAATAACGCAAATCATGAAAATGAGCTACAAAGGAAATTATTTAGGAAAGACGGTTATAACTTTATAGTAAATGCATTCCGGACTGTTAGTTTTACTCCAATAAATGCGCGCTTTAAGAACTCACAATCCGCGTTAGCTTTGCGGTTGCTATGCTAACAGACTTACTGAGTAGAGTTTCTGCCACCGGCCCTCTGAATCTATCTCCTCAAACTTCTGGTCCATCTTCACCGTAGCCGTGCCAATCTGTTCCATAGCCGGTTGGGTTGGTTAACTTTTTGACTTTCTACCTCATTACTTTATTTAGGACAGAGAAACCTTTACCCGAACAGTGAACCCTTGCCCTCGCCGCGGAGCTCTCGCTGAGTGTTTGTCCGTTATCTCTCTGCCGCAGTTGTCATCCAAAAGTGAGAAAGGTGCGCATGCGCCACAGAGGTCCCTCCAGCGGTTAACGAATCAAATGCATCAAAGATGTTTAGCGAACAAACAAGATGTCAAACTCCAAGAAAACTTTGTCTGAAGGACTAGTTTACAGTATACATCCACGGAGTTCTATCTAATTTCATATTAAAAATGCACTGGTGCGCATTTTTTTAAGCTTTTTTTTTTTTAACCATGCTCCCTTTTATAAGTTGTCTGTTGTGTGTACGTGTGTGTGTGTTGGTGTGTGTGTGTTTTACATTAGTATTTTGTAAATTATTAGAATATCTCTATGCCACTAAAGCTTCATTCAGTATCTATTGCTCTGATGGCAAATAATCCGTTTTATTACCTCTATCAAATAAATTAAAAGCCTGGCAGGCAAATAAGGATTGCTTGGGGGGCCGGGAGGGGGGGGGGGGGGGGGGGGGGGGGGGTATTTATTAAAGTATTTAAAACTAAAACATTTTAACAATGATTCAAAAAGCAAATGTATCTTTGACATAGATACATTGTTATTACATTATGTAATTGGAAAATAACAGTGTTCACACTTTTAGAAAGCAATACATTTTTAAAGTTTCAGCATAAAGTCATTTTCATTTAAGCAAATATGTCGGCTGAACTGCTAATTAAAGAAAATATCTAATAATACAATTACATGGCAGCAACTTAGTGCATTTAGACTATAACTGGTCATAGTGTAATGGGGTGGGGATATTGTTTTGCACACTATGGACCCTTTACTACTAACTAAGTACTGCTTAAAGACCACAGCCTATCTGAATGTTTTTGCTAATGATCCCTGTATGAGCACAGGGTACCCATCATTTGATTGCTGCTTCCAACATGATAGCATACCATGTCACAAAGCTCAAACTGGTTTGTTGAACATCACAGTGAGTTCACTGTACTCAAATGGCCTCCACAGTCACCAGATCCCAATCCAATAGAGCACCTTTGGGAAGTGTTGGAATGGGAGAATTAATAATATAATATTTTGTCAATATGGATCAAACACTCTGAGGAATGTTTTCAGCACCTTGTTGGATCTAGGCCAAAGAAAATGAAGGTAACTTTGAAGGCAAAAGGAGTACTAATGAATGGCGTTTTAGCAATGAGTTATTACAGCAGAGTTATTTTTCTTCATATATTACACCAATGACAGAAAACAAAAACAACACAACAATTACAAGTTTCTGTTAAATAAAACAAAACTCCCAGGAGGACAAAGTACACTTGGGTAACCTGATTCTTGTTAGTCAAAGTAAGCAAAGGGGTCAAATGAAGCATTTCTAATGTTACAGAGGTTCACATTTCCCTTTTCACCTGTAGCAGGTTTGTCAAAGCTAATGGTTCAACTGGCTTTTTGTTTGTTTGTTTCTGAGGGAATGAAGGATCAGATAGAGGACCACAGAATTTCAATTTATATAGTTACTGTGATGTACACCGTCTGCACACCGTCACAAACTTTAGTGAACTTTTTAAAGTTGGGCAGTCATGGTCATGTTAAGACATGTTACTTATCAACAACTAACAAATATCAGCTTGCTTTGAGAAGAAGAAAGTTGTTCTTAAGACAACATTTTTTAAAAACTACTATTACAGTGACGTTCCCTTCTTTCTTTCTTTTTTCCCCACAGTACAGCAGATGTAAAGGAAAGTCCTGGTGTTGAGACCAGACACATAAAAGTGTTCTCCGTGTAGTCGACCACTAAATATTTGGGTTAAGACTTGTTAGTGGTCATGGCAAAAATACAGTCAGTGTTATTTTTCGATTAGGATGACTCATAAAAAGAAGTTGAATGCTGGAGTTGTGGGTGTGTTACAAAACTACTCAGCAATGTCCGCAGGGGGACAGTGTTTCCTCTGCTACGTAAACACAGGCATGGTCAACGTGTCAAGTCATCAGCTGCAACAAGGAAGAAGTTTTCTAACTCAGTGAGTTATTTCACAAATAAAAGCTTCGTCCGGGAAAAGTAAAAGTAGGTAAAAAAGTAAGAGTAAAATGTTAAAGGTGGTAAAATTGTCCAGGTGATTTTATTTGGATTTGCAAATAATATGTTATTTTACTCATAAGAGCTTATCAGAAAATAACATTTTAGCACAAATTAATCCAAATTCTTAATATGTTTAGCCTTTTTAAACAAAATTCTTTATTTTTAGATGGCAGCTTATTTAAAAAGCATCTGACAAGATAAAAGTGTCATCTTCTGCCATTTGTAAGTTTTACAAATTAAAGAAACTTTAGACAATTTGGGAGAGATAAGATACACACATTAAATGGTAGACAGACACTGCAAAAACAAACAAACAAAACAACCCCAAACAAACAAATACAATATTCATCCAAATTAAATAACACTTTCATTTGAAAGATAATCATCAATAATTTTGTATGACATATAGTGCCACAAATGTTTATGTCATGCACTTTTTTGTATTGTGTGTCGAACATAATGCAGAATGCAGTTTGTCCTACTCTGCTGCAACCTATTAAAAAGCTATTAGAAATTGTAGACTTTAGAAAACAAGAAGAAACTGAATTGCTAAAGATTTGAACGAGGATGTAAGTGTTCTCACTTCCATTTATGTGTGTGAATGAGAGTGAGACAGTGAAGCTGCAAGGAGTAAAGGTAGTGAATTATTGAGACAAACAAAACCCCAAAGAAAAGGCTAACGTTTGATCATTCCCTGTAGGTTTGATATCCCCTGCTGGATCACATATAGAGACAGGTGTGGACACTTACGGTAGACTGAGATAGTTTGGACATGTGCAGAGGAGCAGCTGCATGTGTGTGTGTGTGTATATATATATATATATATATATATATATATATATATATATATATATATATATATATATATATATATATATATATATAGCTTTACATCGGTTCTTCCACCGCTTATTAGAAAAGCCTTTATCGTGAAAAGCATTTATTGTGAAATTATCATATTACATATCGGAAGTTTGAATGTTGTTTTATTTTGGTGTTTAACTTGACCGCGGTAATCAGACTCGGGGAATGTACCTCGGCTGTCCTGCCAGGTTTTTTCTGCTGCTACACATTTTCAGGTACTGCTTCCTGCGAAATGGAGACAACGGTGTACACTTCAGCTGTGAAGTAAAGGAAAATCAGGGGGAGGTTGTACGACGGTAAGTTTTCACCTCGTAGCTCGAACCAGCTGAGCTTTTGTAAGATCAGAACTTCCTTCTCTTCGAGGCTGCTGGGATGCTAGCAATTTTTTTTTCTTTTTTTTTTAGCTTTGTTAGCTTGTAAAATTTCCTTGTTAAAGTGGTGGTCGACAGAAACCTTTATCCGACACCAAATAAAGGTTTACGAGCGCGAAGGGGTGCTTATATAAACCACCCACTTGAAGTATTTGTTAGTGAGTGAGCATTTGGCTTCGGCTCAGCTGCTCAGCAACTCTTTGGGCGATTAAAGTTAAGTCACTAGCCACCCGTAGCTAGCAGGCTAACCCTGGTTAGCCAAGTGGAAATTGTAAACAATATTAGATCGTTTCTGCGCTGAGCTCCACACGACGAGTAAGGTATCTCATGCATGAACGTTTTTACTACTTTTAAAATAAGTTGACAGAGCTGGGTCTTTCCAGCTTTTAGTTTAGGGCTCTAAAAGCCGTGGCCACAGTTGAACTTTCGGAAAATATGCAACTTTAGCCAAAGTTCTTCTGCTTTTGTGTTTTGTTAGACATTTAGGCTAATATATATGTATACATATATAGTATACATGTATGTGTGTATGTATGTATGTATATCTATAAGTGAAGACGGTTTACTTCTCTGTTTTGGGGGTTGTGGGGGAAGGTTAATGATTTTACACTAAGTAACCTGCATGTAAAATCAATTTAACTATTACATTATGATCTCAATACAGATACTTCTGTACATTGTTTACTGCTGTCGCTTTGTATCACTGTTTTAATTAGTAGTAGCATATCAGTTGCTCAGTCCTTCCTCGATGGCGGTGCTGACTTTTAAAGCATGCATGTTAAATAAATTCAGGGCATCTTCACTGGGGCTTTCCGTCAGTGAGTCACGGTGCTTTTGCTTGCTCTTGATCCCCTGTAGCATTTCACTTGAACAGAATTAATTCCAGATTTGGGGTTTGTACACAGAACCAAACCATTTGTGCTGTAGCTTTAGGAAAACTTGGTCAGTTCGGTGTTTTAATGTAGAAACTCAAACTTTACTATTCTTTCAGCGGCACAAGTGACTTGGTTAGTCAGCTTTTTTGTTGCTGTAGTACTACTGCCATGTTACACATAAATATATGTTATTGTTTACATCTCTTGAAACTAGGAATTTGTTTTAAAAGAAATATTACACATATCTTATGCACCTGCTATTTTCGGATGAGAAAATCTGTTTTTAAAAAATGTATAAATAAATAAAGAGATGACTAATAGAGGTCAGCCCCTCGTGGAAATTCATCAGAGAACTTTATTTACTCAAGCATGATTTGCATTTTTCCTTATTACATGATCAGAACACCTTAGGTTTCTGTCAGGTAAGGTAACACCGACTCATTGTGTCCTCGCCTGCCTTGCCTTTAATAAAAAGTACATTCTTAGCTAGGTAAAACCCTTGACAGGTGTATTGGTGGTTTCTAAAAAGTAGGTTAAAATGTTCTTCTTGTACTTTTATGATATAATACATTTAACTTTTATTTGCAGCTAACCAAGTTTGGGGACAGAAAACAAGAACTGGTTTCAGCTGATGACTAGTCTCAAATTGTCAAATCTGCTGAAATGAAACTCCTTCAAAGCTTCTTGGTTTTATTTTATTTTATTAGTAACCTGTGGCCGAGCCACAGAAGACCCTTGAGCTGAAGCAACATTTGCTCTATTGCAGTATTCCCTCTTATCTTATTAGAATGATACACGTATGTTGACTTTTTCTGTGGATTGTTGAATGAACTAGCAAATAAGTATGTGCTGGGAACTGACAGAGA